CTAGTTTTTATCAATTCAACTTCATTTTACACAACATGAATCTAACCATAATTTACACTGTGCACTGCTGATGTTTTGATACTGTTTGATAGAAAATGTTTTACCTGTAATACAGAAACATTCACAAGTTTCTCATGTATTTGTTCATCATAAAAACTAAATTCAAATCGGGCATCACAAGTTCTGAGCTGAGTTTCCCAAAGCATCGACTACTTAGGTTTTGTGCATCGACAGCCCTGATTTACTGTATATACCAATATACAAAAGAACACGTGGCATGATTGCTGGAATTATTGTCAAGTTTCTCAGGTCGGTAAATGGTGATCATCTTCAAGATCAGTGAAATTTTACTGGGTGCTTCTAACACGTTTGTTATTTCAATTCGAACCCAATTAATGAGTGTAATGTCCTCAGCTTTTTGACTTGAATTGACATTGAAATAAATTCCTGCTAATAAATTCCTCTTTGTTTTGTTTGTTATTGTCTGATGAAGTGTTGCAGTTCAGTGGTGGAAGTTTTCTAGGGTGTCACAGTTGCAGGGGCATTGCATCACGCTTTAAAATTCGCCCTCGCCTTGCCTCAATCAAAACAAGAACAGTGTTTCAGAACAGATATTAATTATTCCCCCGCTAATAATGTCCATGAGGAGAAATGTGAAGAAGAAACTGAACAAAAGCACTTTCACAGTATAAAAACACAGAAACAGGCTATAGTATCGTTGATGGTCTTCTGTTCGGGTTTAGGTGCTGCAGATCAATGAGCCAAAATGTTCATTTGTAAGATTCCTATCTTCAGGTGATAAATGTGGTGGTATATTTCAAACCAAGTCACATACATTACAAGTCTCTAGCCTACATACTAACATACACAGCTGCCTTCTTAAGGCGTAATGGAAATGCACAAGTGACTGATTTGTAATGGTCTACATGGCAGCAGCAACACGGTCCACACTCTTGCGTGAAGCCACTATCCACTACTGATTTCAATGGAGTTTGATATTGTGAGCTAATATCATTCAGCTAATGACACATGTGCATAAAAAAAATATTGGGTAAAATATGTTATAGATGTATTATACATAAATATACTATTTTGAATTACTTTATTAAAATAGATATAAATATAATAATGTTAAACAAATACATATACATTATGATACATTATTACTTAAATGAGAGTGAACTAGAAGGAAAAGACTTGTCCTGCAATGAGATTGAGAGAAATAGAAAAGAGACAGAGAAAGTGAGGCCATTTAAACTAATGTATTTCAATAATATATCCATTATCCATCCCAACACAATGGCACTGCGGTGAAATAATGCCCACATCTTACATCGAACATGTTTGTGCATATAAGTGCAAAGCATCTTAAGCTTCAATGCCTCTTGTATTTCTCCTTGTACGGGATATTTTGAAATGTTTTGAGGAAATTTCTCAGTACTGAAAGAATCTGCTGAGGGTTTTTATAAGTACAAGGAAATTTTATAACCATCATATTGTTAAGCCTTTACATTTATTCAACAAAGATTCAATAAAACAAAGATATTATTTATATTTTTAATAACATACTTTCAGACTGACACATTCAACCTAAGTTTAAAAGAACAAAACATATGTTCAATCAGAGTCCTTGTTATTACCCATTAACAATATTGACTTGCTCCTGTTTATTCAGCTACTTACCAAATAAATAAAAAAATGTACATAATGATTAAATTATTTTATTAGTTTACTTGTAGATTATCTTAAAGCTTCCGCTAAGGTTACCAGGGACAGCAAATCAATTATACAGGTTAGTAAAACATCTGACCACAGAATCAAGTATTCCAGAGAGTGCATTAAAAATGAGACACTGGATGCGTACGATATGACCTTATTTCGCATAAATAATTCATAAACAGGTAAATACATTAAATCAGGACATGGTAGACAAAAAGTGGATTAGATTATCTTTGATATCTGATATCTTGCAATGTAAAGCAGAGGAATGAGTTACTCAATAAAAACTGAACAGTGATTATTGTAAACATGTCATACAAAGACAAGCAAGTCATACAAAGCTATACTGAAGCAGAAAATCCTTAATGATCCTTGGTGGAGTGAGGATCGAGAAATGTATAAAGGGCCCGAGCAAATGTAGTATGCAGTGCTTGTGTATGTGTGTGTGTGACAGTGATGGAGTGAGGGTGTATGTTTGTGGCTGAAACTAAGAGGAGTCATTTCTGAAGACTAAAGATGAGCTGTCACAAGAGACGGACTGAACTCCCCCTTCAATCGATATGGGGGATTGGTTCCCTTTAGGCCTCTGGAGCCCATGTAAGATTTTGGTCTTTACACTTTTAAACACTATATCTGAGGATTACAAAATATTACTTTCTGAAATATAGACTTAACATTTAAAAAACAAACAAACATTTGAAACTATATTGGGGTAAATACATCTTAAATGACAAATGAAACATTTTAGTGTTGGAATTTTACATCTTTGTTCAATTATAAGAATTCAAACTGCAAAAAAATGAATGTCTTGAATATAGGCTAAAGCTGCAGCTATTGTCATACTCATATTCTAGTCATAATGTGAGTCTGATACTGCTCCATAGGGATTTGATTATGAGGCGTTTCTTAACTGAACCAGGAAAAAACCAACAACTCTGCACTCAATTGGATAGACTTACAACCAATCAGAGCAATGCAGTAAGTGAACTCAACAACACGCACACTGGAAGTAGTAGTAAAAAAATGAGCGTTGCTTCTTTTACTTGGTCCTCCATGATTGCGACCAAAGGAGAAACCCCAACGACCACAGGGTTTTCATTGCGTCCCATCTTAGAGACCAATGGAGCCAGCTGATAAAATAAAGATTTGCCGAATCCTGTAGGAAGGACGGCAAACGCATCTTTCCAATTGACAAATGCCTTGATTGCAGTTCTCTGTTCGTCTTTTAAAGGGATACTCCACCGTTTTTTCATATTAAACTATTCCCTTAACTAAGACGAGTTGATGCATACATCTCTCGTATCAGTGCGTGCACTCAATCGCTCTGGCGTGTGAGACACTTTGATAGCATTTAATTTAGCCCAGTTCATTCATTAGGATCCAAGCAGAGAAGCGACCAAACACCTCCAAGTTTTCCTATTTAAATACAGTTGCATGAGTAGTGTAACTCGACCAAGAATGGTGACACACACAAAAAAAAAAACGTTGAACTTTTCTAAGCGTGTAAAGTGGATAACTATAATATAGCCTCTCCCCTATCTCCCTCTCTGGAGTGATGATATTACTGCGCTGAGTCCATAGATATATATGCACCGAGTCGAAAAGCGGTATGTATCAAATCGTCTTAGTTAAGAGAATAACATTGTTAAATATGAAAAAAACGGTGGAGTATCCCTTTAAAATGAATGCAAAGTCGACTTCTTTTACAACAGACGCGATAGCGGAATCTATTCATTTCAATTCTCCAGCTGCAGTCATCTTTGAGGGAAACCAGTTCAACCCAAGCGTTTGATAACGTGATAATTACGTAACTGCAGATCATCTGTCCATCATCGTATAAAGCCCGCCCTGGCAATTTGATTGGCCAGACTAATTCTGAACCGATCATAATAACTCCTCAATGGATCGAGTCCAGTCCGAACTTCCCGACACAAAAATGTTGTGGGCGGGATTCGGGTTGGCATCCAGGCTAAAATAGCATTAATTTGGCATGATAAAAATATAAATCTAGCAGCACTACAAAGACCCCTGGGAAGGGATTGGGCTTCAGTCAATGTTTGACTCACTCATTCTTTGCAACAGGCAGAGTGTTCTGCATGACTAACCAAAAGCAGAGAACTCAATAAGGACAGACAACACAGCTCAAATCATCAGAGATAGAGGTAGAGAGAGAGAGAGAGAGAGAGAGAGAGAGAGAGAGAGAGAGAGACGGACGATTTGGTTTAGTCTCTGTCACGTTTTGGTTTGTTCCAGTCCGTTCTCATCCCAAGGCGTCATATACTGACGCTTTTGGTAATGCGTACATCCAACGCACATGGCACCCTTTAGCGTCAATATGAGACGCAGATATATATGGGCCAGAAGGCGCCTCCTAGTGGTGTAACCCTAACCCTACCCCAGACCTAAACCTACCCATAACCGAAGCCTGTTATATTGACACTAAAGGGTGCCATGTGCATTGGATGTATATGCATTTTCAAAAGGTTGTTGGTTGTTCATATCATATTCCATGCCTGTCATGTGATTCCCTGTTTGTCATGTGATCCTGCCATGTGTCTTGTCATTGGTTAACCGTCTGTTCATTGTTCACAGGTGTCCCTTGTCCTGTTATTAGTCTGTGTATTTAAGCCCTCATGGTTGCCATGTGTCTCAGTCAAGTATTGTTTCCTGTAATCTCTGTTGCGTGAGTCCATGTCCACAGTTTTGTTTCATGCTTTGTTTTATGTTCTGATCTCGTTGTATGTTATTTTTGAGTAAATAAACTGCACTTGGGTTCTCTATACAACTTGCCTTCAGTGGATCCCTTACAGAAAGTGTGCAGAAGAGAAAAAAAGGCCACCACCACCACAAAAATAAAAATTGACAGACTAGCAGAGCTTTAGCCAAAACTACATTAGCTCACTGAAACATTTCTCTCATGGTATTTAAATTCGAGCAGACTTGCAGATAAAATAATTTCTCAGTTTACCAATTATAACACTAAAAATAGTTCTCAATATGACAAGGGATAGGTTGTTTTCTTGTGACATTTAGGGGCAGTTTCTGAAAACCTTTTCCCTGGAAGAGCAATAAAAGTCAATCAAATCTGGAACTGGCAGGATTAGTTGAATCAAAGTTCTCTACTGATTTTTATAAGACTGGTATCTTATCTTCCAACATTTTCAGACTCCATAGACAATATCACAATCATGTACTCTTTTACTTGTTTTTTTTAACTGGCACCAGTTCAAGCACAATTGCAGACAAGGCAACATGGGACAAGAAAAAGGTTTAAATCTTACTGTATCTTTTTGGTCCATCCTCCAAACAGAAGGAGAGGGTCAATGTAGCATCCTCCTCAAAGAACTCTGTAGCAAACGCATCCCACCACAGACTATCACTCTCCTGGGGAAGAAGGAGAGTCACGGTTAATTAATGGGAGTTAATTATATGGTGTGATATGCTTTGTCAGTCTTAGAAGTCTATTTAAAAGGAGGAAAAAATAAGATATTCAAGATATTCCAGGAAAAAAATAAGATATATCAAGATATTTTTCAATGTGGAAAGTTTTCAAGACAATGTCACAATGACAAAATGATTTTAATATGCAAAACTGTTAATCATAGCAGCAAGAGTTTACATCCAAGTTTTGAATGCGAATCAAAATGAAATGTTCAAAAGAGACGGTCAAAACAGGATAGAAAATAGCAATATGGGTGCACTAATAAGCATTAGTTCATGTTTAACTAATGCACAGATTGTCATGAGTTAATGTATGACTTATGAAGAACTAACCCATTAATCAATTATTACTGCATCAGGAACTAATAAAGAGTCTATATGATTAATAGATTAAGTAATACATGAATTGCTAGCAATTAAACATGTAATCATGTATTAATTCCTTAATAACATATTTATTAACTAATAGTGTAAATTAATGTGTTCATTACCACAATTAGTCAACGCTATGCCCTTCAACTTCCAGTTGTCTGCTTTGATTAATCATTAGCTAATGATTTGCAATATCGTTATGTTATGACTTTACTTGTTGAGGCATATGACTATTAACTAATTGTTAAGTAATATGTCATTATGGTTATGGGTTTTGTCATCCCCACCAAAGGTCTGTGGGGCAGTTGCACATGCAATGAGTTATGTCAGAAAGTGTTTGACTTTGGAGGATGGGGTAAGTTGGGCCACACAAAACTATCAGCAACTAATAGTAAAAAATAGTAGTGTTAACTAATTGTGGTAATTAACACATTCATTTACGCTGTAAGTTAATAAAATATGTTAAGGAATTAAAACATGATAACACGTTTAATTAACAGCAATTCATTTATTACTTGATCAAGTAAAGTCGGCGTGAAAGGGAAGTTGAGATTGTAATATTTTCCTTGTCGTGACGTATATCAGAGTGAAACGGCTTCTGAAATTAGAAAAAAATATAGGGCAGGGCTTGATTTCGTCCTTCGGGAATTGATTGGATCGTTGGAGGTTGGGCGTTGCATACAAAATGGAGGCAGATTTGAATGCGATTCTCTGAGAGGCGATGCACGGATAGCCGCACCCTCATCGAATCTGGCCGCACCCTTTCACCATTCCACGTGACCGAAATAGAAGAGAGGTCGTTTTGATGGGGGAGGGAAGGGTAATGTCTTTAATTAAAGATTATAAGGGTACATGAATTTTTTAAAAATAATGAAGTGCACAGATAAATCATTTATAATAAACACTACAGTATTACATAGAAAAAGCAGATTTGTCAAATTTGATTTCATGCCGACTTTAATCATATTGACTCTTTATTAGTTGCTCATGCAGTAATAGTTTAGTTCTTCATGAGTCATAAATTAACTCATGATTATCTGTGCATTAGTTAAGTATGAATTGATGCATATTAGTGCACCCGTATTGTAAAGTGTTACCAAAATAGCTTATTACAAAAAATCTTGATAACATCATAAGTGGACCTCAGAGAACATGCAGTTCATGACCCATTAAAAGCTCATTTTGCATCCATTCTGCGATCTAGCATTGAAATAGCATGAGCCCAGAGCTTATAAAAGATTTTTCCTTAATTAAAGACTGGTTATGTAGAGGGCACCTGTGCACTGTTATTACACGTCGACAACAACAACAACCAAATTCATTATAAATAATGTACATCCAGGGCACAGAGAAACTCCAAATCCACTGCTAATGGAAATATTTACTAATTCGCTTGAATTAAATTAAGGCCACTCCATCAGATGGGCACGCTAGATGAGAACATCCTCAGCGTATGTAAAATTAGACTCCACGGCGTCCTGTGATTGACAGAGCACTGATTCTAACAGACGTCGTTTAGCCCAACGTTGCCATCAAGCCGATGTTGCCTGGTGACAGATCACAAGCCCTCTCAGATGTTTACAATTAGGGCTGTCGACTTCGGGCAGCGTCACATTCCACAGTGGCCGACCCTGGAGACCTTTCCACCCGAGTCTTGAATTCGAGAAGCGTTGTTTTCCAGCGCTGAAGAAGCGTTCTCATCTGCTCTGCGTTTTGGGAGTGAGTCAAGGCCCTATTACGATCTGCTGTCTTAGTCACTTGTAAGTGAATGATCAGTTTTGACACCTTTTTCCATTCAATAAGGCAGGAGGCTGATGTTGTCCAACACAGCTGGTGATACACACACACACACACAGTTTTGGCTAACATGCTTTTCCTTGCTTTCTACTTTTGTATGTGTGTTTCCATGTGTATGTGTGAGAATAAACCTGTAGTCACACTCAGTAGGATGCATGAATTCATCAGATTATCATGTTTTCTTCATTTTTAGCTTTTCCCCCATCTTGGTCTCTTGTGGATTTGCAAATATTTAAGGTTAAAGGAGTAGTTCACTTTTGAAAAAAACTTTTGCTGATCAATATTTATTTATTAAAAGAGCGATCATTTCGCTTGTTAAGACCCTTATTCATCGTCTGGAATCGTTTAAAGCCCTTTGAACAGTTTGCAGTTTGTACTGAAAGTGTCTTTTGGACCTTGAACCGTTTGGTTCCCATTGAAGTGCATTATATGGAGAAAAATGCTGGAATGTTTTCATCAAAAACCTTAATTGATTTTCGACTGAAGAAAGAATGACATGGACATTTTGGATGACATGGGGGTGAGTAAATTATCCGCAAAAGTTTTTTGAAAAGTGAACTACTCCTTTAAAACAACCTTCCTTTTCTCTAATCACTAGGCCCGGACATTGACAGATTTCATGAATCAGTTCCCAAGATCCCCAAGCTGATTCATAAACTATTTTGTATAAACATAGTGTCCTTTGGTACATTACTATAATATTAAAGGTTACAATTAACCAGTTCAAATTGAATTTCTCTTTATTTTTAGAGATAATAACACTCACATGTTATGATGTACACTAACATTTAAATTGCACAGTTAAATTGCAGTTTTTATATCAACTTTTTTAATGGTTGTCCAATTCATTTTTGCAATATAAATAATAATATTTATTAAACAATTTTTTTCGAGCTGACTAATAAGCTATGGTCATTGAGTGGCTTTTCTGAGCTAAATATAACATTACTGTATGTGACATTGTTTACAAGCTGTTTTATTGACGTCTAGGTAAAATGATTAAGCGATGACATAAGAGATTTCAATAAGCTGTATTGTCTCTTTCAACATACCTTCTGATGTTCATTCAAGTTTATTTCATGCTATTACTATGTAATGAGGGAGAGGTGATCGGTTCACGTGCCGCTTGAACTGAGACAATACAGTGATCTGTCATGCCGCATTAAAGATTCAGTGTTTGAATTTTATGGTAAAATTGACAGAATTTGAAAGCTGGGATGGGATGCACGCTACAAATTTGGTGAAGTTTTGTTTACGCATCAACCGAAAACAGCATAGACATAGAAATCAATCTTGGGATTTAAGTATCGATTTTAATCAAAATCGTCATTAATCGTAACGCAGCCCTACAAATCGCTGTCTCTTTCTCTCCCTTTTAGGTTTGAAAAACAGATCTTGTTGGTTTGTGTCTTTGGTCAGTGAGTCTCATCTCCTTTTTAGCCATTTTGCATGACAATCATGCATTTGAGATTGAAATTCCACGACTCCCTGAGCTCTCTGCAGTTCAATATCTCTTTGCAGCTCATTGATGGATGCTCTTGAGCTGAGTTTATCGTGTTTGTATCAGCAGGTGTTGACTGCTCTCTTTGAGTGTTCATTGATCTCCTCCACTTCAACGTCTTCCTGATGATGAGGTCAATGGCCCACAGGGGGATTTATCAATGCTGTACAGTCACCACCAATGACCTCCTCAGCACCTACGATCTTTCACCTCAGATTAGACCCAAATGCATAACGCTGATGAAGTAATAGTTTGAGTTTTTTTTTTGTCGTTGTTATGGTCACTGTATATACTATCGTTCAAAAGTTTGCAGTTAGTCAATACTTAATACTTTTATTCAAGGACACATTAAATAGATCAAAAGTGACAGTAACGAATTTGACATTGTTACAAAAGAGTAAATGCTGTTCTTTTAAACGTTCTATTCATCAAAGAATCCTGAATTAATGTATCGGTTTCTACAATTATTTTAATCAGCACAATTATTTTCAACATTTTTAATGTTTCTTGAGCACCAAATCAGCATTTTAGAATGATTTTTTAAAGAATCAAGTGACACTGATTTTTTTTTTACTTTAAAACTGCAAATGGGTGATCAATTACATTAGATTTGAAGAAACGGATTTTTAATGTCATTAATAATAATAATAACTTATTTTTATCTCAGCTTTTTAAAGTTTTTAAATGGTCAGATTGTAATTAAACGCATAACAAATCAAATTATTATTATATGTTAATATATATTTACAATAAATATCTCATGATTACATAATCTATTATCTTTTATCCCTATTTTAGTTGTAAATCCCAATCAACAAAGACATTCCGTGGAATTACTTCAATGCATAATGAAGACAATAACCCACATGGACAAAAATGGTGTAAGGGTCTTCCATTATGCTGAGAAAACAAGATATCGAGCATACAGATTGAGATAACATGGACAAAATATTGAGTTAGCATGTAACGTAATTACTTTACACTGTCATTGTTTTAATTACTTTGATATAAGCTAATTACGGAAGAGCATTAATGGCTGCTAACAGCATTATCAGTATCTGCACCAAGACTCCAGAGTTATAGGATTTCATTTATCTGGAAGGCAATCTGCACTGTCACAATCGATAGGAAATCTGATTGTCCATTTGCACTAATTAACCCTATTTAATGCCTCAGCAGCCCTTGCAAACAGTATCCCTAAACTTGCGTACAGCCAGGTGTGTGATGATGTGCCAAAGTTGGAAAGGAAGGACTGGATTTCTAACAGTTGAAT